TATACATTGCGAGAATTACGTGTTAGATAGCTTACCGCTTGGTGATTGCCAGGTCCAACAAGATAATTGGATGGAGGAGCAGTTTCAGGCGACTTGTTTGTTACCGGACCACCTTTGAGTGGACTAGATCCACCAGGCTGCTTAGGAGCGCGGTCACCTTGTGGGAGATCTTTGGCAGGTGGGCCACCAACAGGAAGGGAAGACGCGACGGCGGGACCAGCAGAATACCCTTGTGTGGGGACTCCTTTGGGCGGATCGTTGGGTACTGGGCGGGTTGTCGCGGAGCCATTTGGCACTGGATTATTTGTCGAAGGACCGTTGGGACCCTTGAGAGTAGCGTTGCTCTCTGAGGGGTACGTTGGCACTGGACCAGCAGGAGGGTTGCTCGCTGGAGGAGGAGACTTTAACCATTGGGTCAGGTATCGAATGCTAAGTGAAGTTAAAACCTTCTTACCGATTTCACAGGATCAGCTGGAGACTTTGGGGCGTAAGGATCCAGGAGTTGAACCGGTGTGGGTCCGTTCACGGGGGAAGGGATAGCGGAAGGCGGCTGGACATAGAGGTAAGAGATTGTTTAGCATTGTAATAAGCTCATACCACCTGCTGGGTGTCACAAGAGGTCGATGGTCGGGGAACAGGACCAGTGTTCGCGAGTTGAATGGCGCAGAGCGCGAAGGCAGTGAGCATGAGGAAACGGTTGGCTGCCATCTGACAGAAATTAAGTGAATGAGACTTGAACGAAAAGAAAAAACTGGGTTGGATGGAGTAAGCAACTGAGGTACCTTTTATAGAAATTGTATCTGAAAAAACAACCTGAAGAACACATTGACTGCGCACAGAAAAAAAATCTCCAAACGGAAAGTCTTGGCCAGATGTCAAAGCTTGCAGACATAAGTTTCGTTCCTTCACACGACGGAACAACACCTCCAGAGCCCTATACTGCGCATCAGTACATAGCAATGGTAAACAAGAACTAAAAATAATCACAGGCCTTGCACTCACAAAATATGATCCACATATCAGTCTCATTTTGCATGAATAAGTGTGTTCCCGGCCACTTTCGAAGATTCTATTCATATTGTTCTTTGATGATAGCGCTTCGGAAGCTCATCAGCTGCGGAAAGAGTGTGATTGGAAATATTCACACACTTTGTATTGCTAGCTTTGCTGCAGGCTTGCGATTGGGGCTGAAGAACCTCGGAGAATCAACGCCACCATGGACATCATGATATGAGCCTGCACCCAGGCCGAATTCGCCGTTTTCAACGTGCATAGCGGCATGGAAGTAAACTATCCGGACATTGCGATTAATGAATGACACCGAACTGCCACACTGGTGACATTACGCATGATGCTCACCAGAATATATACCTGTTTTTGAGGCCTTTTGATCTCTATCACCTCCAAAAGAATGAAAAGGATCAATGTAACCCGACATTCGAAGAGGGGAGATGAAGCACTGCTGATGTATAAGATCAACTCAACGTTAGTGCTGGTAAAGTTCGGCAACGTCAAGAGACGGAAACTGGGTGTCAAGGTCAGATGAAGGAGAAGGACGACTATGGTTTCATTCAGTCAACATGACATAGCGAGAGTGTCAAGAGGGGCAAAAATGGCACTGCTATTGAACAACAACAAATGAGAACATTTGCATGTTACGAGGTGTTGCCAAAAAAATTCTTGCAGATCAATCGATCACAGTACAACAGTCCCAATCTAAAAGCTACCAGGCATCAGGTAAATCGAAATGGATCATAAACGAAATGCCTCTCTGCAACGATTTGAACTCACTTGTTCTATTGACTCTGATCCTTGCCTGCTCAATCATCAAGTCACTCCCCAAGTTCAAACTTGTTCTTTCCATTTTTGCATTCTATGGTCCAGAAAAAAGCTCAATGGAGTCCTGTAAGACATCGCAGGTTGTGTGAGAGGCGGCGTGAGCAACCCGAACGATTTGTGAAAGTTAGGCTCGTGACCAGCCTGCATATGAGAACTTCGATATACAGGCTGGTACGTCTGAGTTTAAATCCCCGTA